TTCTTGCTTTTAATGTGAACATAATGTCTTTTTGTGTGTGGTATAAATATTTATTATGTGAAGAGCAATTTCATCTTTAGACAATTTTATCAAGAGTTTTCCAGGGAACCAGCAGTTAGCATAATGGCTATGTCGCTGGACTCCCATGTAGTCGACCGTGGTTCACGTCCTGGACCCGGTGACTTAAAACTCACGCTGGGCGTGTGTGCATGTATGCCGAAGATCCAGAGAGGAGAATGGAGGAGAAGGGATTACGGTGTGACCATTCCTCCTGGGGGGTGATTTCTCGCTTTCTGTCTCTATGTCTCTCTCTGTCTGGCGAGCGCATGTGCCCTGTAGCGAAAACCTCTCTAAAAACAAAAAGAGTTTTCCATACAAATGACTTTGCCATCTACAAGAATGAACGTATATGTTTTATTATTTGACCTATCAATTTTGTAAATTTAGTTAATAGATTTCCAATTGTTTTACTCCTAAAATGAGCACTAATCAGGCACTAATTAGGCAAGATGAGTGATTCTTTTAATATTCTGTTAGGTTAGGGGAGCCAGATCCCACAGGGCAAACTATGGTTCAATTCCTGGCCTCAGCAACTTGAAAAAACACAGCCTACATGTGTGCATATGTACCCAGAGTTCCAACAGGATAGAAGAGTGGAGGAGAGGGAATTCTGGCATGACCATGCCCCATTGGGGAGTGTTTTGTCTCTCTCTGTGTGTCTCTCTCTTCCTCTCTCTCTGGTGTTTGCTGCACCATTTGCAATTAAAAAGATGAAATAGAAGGAGAAAACGGAGAATAGGTACATCAAGTACTGAATTTTAAAAGTGAACATTTTGCATATGGCCAAATCTCCAGGACAGTGGTGATGGGTACCATGTTTCAGACAGGGTGTTTGCTGGTGTGATGATGAAAGAACGAAAAGGTTAGTGTTTATTGAACACTGACTATCTTATAGGAGTTAAATCTATCAATACTCATAACGACCCTTGCTCCCATCCCGGGTTGGTATGCCTATTCATTCCTTTTCACAGATGAGGAAGTAGAAGCACTAAAAGATTTCATAATTTGCCTCAGACTGTGATTTCTCAAAGGCTGAGCTGGAATTTGAGATGATACAGTAGAGCGTGCTCTTTAATTATTACTCTGTGTGTGTGAAGGAATTGAAAAATGAAGCAGAGTGAAGGAGAATTGAGATGATGCTAGAACCAAAGTCACTAAAAGCTAGGAAAAATACAGGCTCTTAGACATCTGTGGATTTCTTAGAAGAGTAATTCCTAAAGATGAGGATATAATGAGTTCAAGCTGAAGTTACGTAATTTTCTAGGGCCAGAACATGCACAAAAATAGAACTCTGACCCACAATTTGTAGAAACCAGCCCAGGAAACAAATCATTAATTAGCTATAGATAACCAGTCTACTATCTATGAGACTGATGTATAGCAATTCTGTTATCTCCAATTATTGGTTCAGGAGGCCAAATAATAACCCCCATGATAACCACCCCATAATGTTCAAGATTTTTGTTAATAGCTGACAACTTTCTTAAGTTTTGCTCCCATTTCCAATTTAAGACCAATTCGAGAAAACCAATTATGTACCCCTAACTAGTCAAGTAGAGTGCCCTGTTCCTAGTTAATGTGCCTATAGCTTCCCCATGCCCACAGCCTCTAAGCAGGGTGTACCTGAAACCTTTTTTATTTTATTTATTTTTTTCAGAGGTTTTTGTTATAGGGCGCATGCACTCGCCAGACAGAGAGACAGAGAGATAGAAAGCGAGAAATCACTCCCCAGGGGGGATGGCCACGCCGCAATCCCTTCTCCTCCATTCTCCTCTTGGGATCTTGGGCACGCACGCACACACGCCCAGCGTGAGTTTTAAGCCACTGGGTTGGGTACGCAAACCATAGTCGACTACGTGGGAGTCCAGCGATGTAGCCATTACGTTAACTGCTGGTCCCAACCTTTGTTTTTTTTCTACTGTAAAACTTTCCCACTCCTCTCCTGCCTTTGAGCCTGCCAAATGCATATGATAGTGGCTGACTCCCTTGCTGTAGCAAAATCTGAATAGATACCTTTTGCTGACTCTTATTTGGCTAGTCTCCATTCACTTCCACAAGTGTTACTATAGTGGATTGTGTATATGTCTGTGTTTTCAAATACATTATGAGATTAAAGGCTGGGCTCTTGATTTATTCTTGGCTGTGTGTTTCTGAGCATAACTTGGTGTCTTGCACATTAATAGGAAGACAACATATCTGTTAAGTTGAATCTTATTATGAGAATTTGATTTCTTTATGTTTCCTGGTGTTGTATAATAATGCTTTTCTCCGTAGTAGTTACTTAGAGTTCAATAAATGATGTTGAAAAGACATTGCCACTGGGAACCAGCAGTTAGCATAATGGCTATGTCGCTGGACTCCTACGTAGTCAACCACGGTTCGTGTCCCGGACCCGGTGGCTTAAAACTCATGCTGGGCGCGTGTGCGTGTGTGCCCAAGATCCTGAGAGGAGAATGGAGGAGAAGGGATTGTGGTGTGACCATCCCCCCTGGGGGGTGATTTCTCGCTTTCTGTCTCTATGTCTCTTTCTGTCTGTCTGGCGAGCACACGCGCCCTATAGTGAAAATCTCTACAAAAAAAAAAAAAAGACATTGCCACTGTCCTACAACAGTTTGGATGATGATGATGACAATAATAGATTAGCAATAAGAGCAAGCATCATGTGTCAGGTATTATTTTAGTTGTTTTAAATATATTCATCATCAACAGAGCCCAATGAGAGTGTTATGATGATTTCTGTTTTACACATGATGGAACTAAGGACGAAAGCTTAACTAATTTGCTAAAGGCCACAAAAACTGGATAGTAGTAGAGCCAAGGCTAATTCAAAGCATGTAGATATAGAGTCTGTTTTTAGCTGTGAAATTATAATATCTCTACATTTTTAAGGCAGATTTAATTGTTCACCTCGATCCAGGTACCTAGATACCAAGTCCTGGGGACACAAAAAATAAGTAAAGTAGGGTCTCTGTTTGAACAATTTAAGTATTTTTGAGAATTGCATGTTTGGAGAGGAGAAATGAGGGCAGTCAGGAATTGGTAAAGGAGGGGGTATGGTGTGAGTATCGGAAGACAGATTTTGTGGTGGGAAGTTATTTTCCCCAGAGACTCAGCAAAGGCATGACTGCAGATGAGGCTTGTAGAGGAAGCACAAAAGAAAAATCCTTGGGGAGAGAGACGGAGGCTAGATCCTGGTGTTTCTTGTTCAGAAACTTGGATTTCAACCAAATTTCATAAAAAGGAGGCATTGAAGAATTTTAACTGTGCTGAGGGAGTGTGAGTTGATACTATTGGAATTAAGTATGTATATATTCTCTTCATATGGATTCAGACCCTTTTCCTTTACAGAGAAGAACAAACAACCAAATAAGAGTTTTTGAAGGCCTGAACATATGGATAGGTGGGAGTGAGAGCCTAAACATGACCTCATTCAATCTCATAACAACCCCTGCAGGAGGTGGCATAAGATAAGAAGCCAAGCCAAATGGCTAAGAAGGGGTGAAACTGGATAGCAGCTCAGGCGTGCTAGACTTGCATGCCATCACAAAGAACTGCTTCTGGTCCTCATTCTGACTTTGAATGAATCACTTTAACTGCTTCAGAGCCTGCTATCTTAAGTAGAAGACCTGGTAGTATTACCTCTCAGTCTTTAGAAGTCTCTAATTCCAATCACAGAAACAATTAACGTCTGGTGAAATGCTTCACCATCTCAAATGAAGACAATATTAACAACCTCAGTGTAGAGTGGGCTAATGTCCTGTCACCCTAAAAGTGGCCCCAGGGAGTGGGTTATTGCTTTCCAAACACAATAAAGAGGTCATGAAACAAAAGTGTTTGAAACTCTACCAATATAAACAGAGTGCTTCTTCTCTATTAAAGCAATAGTACAATTCTATAAAAAAAAAAAAAAAAAGAAAAGAAAAGAAAAGAAAATTTCTTGCAGCCCCAACTGCCAAATCTGTACTTCAGTTCTGAAGCATCTATAGCTCTGAGTTCAGAGTCTGGATTTCAAAGATGTTCTGGATGCATAGGGAAAAAAGTCTCTTCACGTTGGCCTAAATCCAAGAATGTTAGTACTGCGGGCCTGTGCGCTTGCACCTTCACTGCATTCATCTGAGCCAAAGCCTCTTAGGCTGAACCAGCATTGGGTAAGGTCTTAATGGTACAGAAGAATCACAGGAGGACCTGTGGATATTATTTCTATAACACATAAAGCCAACAAGATTGGAAGCCTCTAATTTCCAAATCTTTTTTGAAAAGTGTGTATTGCCCAGTATAATGCTAACATATTATAAAATTAGTTATGTTTATTACAGGGAATCTAGGGCATATGAAAACGTAAGTGTTGAAAAAGCTACAAAACTATTTTCAGTACCATGCTAGTTCCACTTCCAATGCTTTTATTCCTCTCAGTGTTTAGAATAATTAATGCATTTTTCCCTGCCTTTTTACATAGCCCCCAAAATATGAAGGCAACAATTTATATCCTATGAATACTTACTTTTCATTTAGATTTAGTAAAGAATGAGATCCTTATTAAAATTAATTGGTTAATTGAGGGACCAGCAGATGGCATAAGGGTTATGTCACTGGACTCCCATGTATTCGACCATGGTTCAAGTCCTGGATCTGGTGGCTTAAGACTCATATCAGGCATATATGTGTGTGTGTGTGCCCAGATCCTGAGAGGAGAAGAGATTGCAGCATAGCCATCCCCTTTGGGGGGTGATTTGTTACTTTCTGTCCTACTGGCAAGGGCACACCACCTATAGCAAAAAAATCTCTCTAGAAAAAAAAAACAAAAACACTAATTGATTAATTGAATCCTCTGAAGAATGAATGTATGGAATTGCCCATAGGTAAGCACAGTTACAAAACCGAGGTACTAATTCACATTCCCACTATCATTGTGCAGGGTTAGCCAATATTATTCCACGATTGTGCTCACTTTGGTAGCAGCACATATACTAAAATTGGAATGATACAGGGAAGATTAGCATGGCCCCTGCGCAAGGATGACATGCAAATTCATGAAGCATTCTGTATTTTTAAAGAAAATTAAAAAAATTATTATTCCACAATGTATTTATATGTCAAAATAACATGTTGTATACGACAAGTTCTCCTAAAATGAAATGCTACCATGTAAGTACCATGCTTCTTTCTGCCAAGCAACTATAGACATTCCATTTTAGTGCAAAAATGGCAAATCACTACAGTTATAGTAACTTGCAAAATAGGAAATGCAGTAGAGAAAATGTTAATGGTTGAATAAACAGAAAAACAGAGTATGGTTAGAGGTTTGGCCAGCAGGAGAGGCAAAGACAGGTAAACACGTATTCATGAGGTGATTAGAAGGTGACTTCTCATTTTCCCTAAAATTAGTGACCATAAGAGAAAAAAAAGTAGTTAACTAGGAGAGATAAACTGAAGGAAGATTAAATAAAAGTATGAAATGCAGTGGCTAACTGATAGGAATATATTATGAACTATAATATGATTTCTTTCTCCAAATGTACAAATTGTTAAAGAACAGAAATTGAATGTTGTCATTTCTTTCAAGTAAAATAGCAGACCTTTAAGAAAAAAAAAATCAAACAAATAGTTCAAGAACAAAGTAATACAGAAGAGAATAAATGTCCTGGAATATATTAAAACAAATTAAGTGGTATTTAGAATGCATTTTGGCCCAATTAGATGGGATTATTATGTAGTTCTTTTTAAAGAGTTCAAATAAAATGTTAATGATTAATAACAGAATTATTCTGCCAATTTCTAAGCTAGATGCTCATTAAAGAAATCATAAAATTTTTTTTTAAGAATTTTGCCTTAGGGCTCATGTTCTTGTCAGAGAGAGACACTGAGACAGAAAGTGAGAAATCAGTCCCCAGAATGGATGGTCATATCACAATCTCTTCTCCATTCTTCTCCTGGGATTTTGGGTACACGCGCACATGTGCCCAGTGTGATTTTTACATTGCTAAATCTGGAATTCGGACCCCAGTCGGTGATGTGTGAGTCCAGCTGCCTTAACCACCATGCCTTCTACTGGCTCTGAAGTTATGAAAATTCATGGGACATTTTATTTGGGGAGTAAGAATGTGGATGATAAAATCAATCAAAACCAATTAGTATAATGAAATAAAGTTTAGTCTTCTTCCTAGTTGAATGATTTTGGGTAAGTTTTCAATCTCTTTTCCTCTCTTTCGCCATCTGCAAAATGAAAATAATAGCGCCTGCTTCACTGGACTGTTGAGACAATGAAAGGAGATGAATCCATTAAAAGTCATGTCAGTATTGACCGAAAGATCCAGCCATCATACAAGATGAAGTAGCCGTGAGAATCAGATTTAGAATTCATGTCTTCTTCCTTCCTGCTTTATGCTACTTAGGAGGTAATATGGCTATTGATTAACAATGACATTGCCATAGGCAAAGCAGTTACCATTGATATTTGAACTTGATATGAATATAATTTCTATGATATTTAAAGATCCACTAATTTTTAGTTGTAAATATAATCTTACCCTAAATTTAATTGTGTTGAACAAGAACTGCCTAACCCCTAAACCAAAAGCTAAATTAAAATGTAAATGTACTAGATGTAAATATGTGATGATGTCTTCATCCTTCATATAGCTTCTTAATAGATTTCTCAGAGTCTGGTGGAATAAAGTCAAAGTTCTGGGTTTGATCCCCTGTGGGGTAAGTTAAATATGCTTTAGTACAGTATGTGTAACCTAAATTATACTTGGCTTGTCCACTGCAAAAAGGCATAATATTGGAGGGAATATTTTTAAAAAGGTAGGGGAAAGGATTCAGTCCTAGTGAGGGTAGGTCACTTCAAGAATAGCACATTCATGCATAAAAGACAGCATGAAGTGGGCCCGCCAGTGACATCATGGTTGGGGCAGCTGGACCCCACAGGACTGACTGTGTGGTTTGAGTTCTGGGCTCAGCAGCTTAAAAAACACCCTGGGCACATGCGTGTCTGTGCCCAACATCCCAAAAGGAGAGTGGAAGAAAAGGGACTGTGGTGTGGCCATCCCCCCTGAGGGATGTTTTCTCACTTTCCTTCTCTCTCTCATGAGTGCATGTGCCTAATAGCAAATTTAAAAACAAAACAAAAATAAAAACTAAAAAATGTAAAGGTGACATGTTCGTCTATTATAGAAACACAAATGTATTTTTAAGACATACTCAATGTTAAAAATAGAAAAAGGTTAACCTCAATCTTAATGCTATATGGTCATATCCACTCCCTTCAAAAATAAAGTATAAAGTAAATATTCTAATAATCTCAAAACCCCATTCTAAATTCCTCTTTGTTCTGATTATTTTCCTAACATCAGTTCACCAGATAAGACCTCATATTGGGTCTGCTCCATATTTCTGTAATCTTTTCAAGGTGTCCTTTTCAGAGGGTATCCTGCTATGGCCTTCCTTATTCATAAGATAAGGTGGAGATAATCTTCTCACCTGGACGGCATGGCAAAACACTGGTGTGATTTAGAATCTCTTCTAATCTTTCCATCGGCCTGGACTGAAGAAGATTCCTGTTAACACATGAAGTCTTTGATCTTTTATTCAAAGGTTCCAGTTGGATAAGTTGGTCGGCAGCATCCTACCACCTTTTCTTTGGTCTTTTGTTGAATTGAATTTCCTAAATATTGGAGTTGGGGAGAAAGAAAGGCAGTTCCTTAAATGAACAGGGCTGCAAAATCTCTGAATCCTAATTTAACATGATCTTCCATTCTCAAGGACACACGAACATAGCCATCTCTGTTGTGAACTGTGTCAGAACATACTTGTATCATCTCCCCTTGCTTGCTGAGTGTGTGTTGGAATAAATCGCCGTGATGTGATTTATGAAGACCCCTCCTTCTCTCAGTCTCTTCCAGCCTATTTGAGTTTACTATGCAAGCTTCAGACCTTTCCTGACAGATATGATGGAACTGGTATCAGTAGTCACTCCCAGCAGGGTCTGTCTTTGATGTTTTATTAAGTGTATGATTTATTATCTCTTCCTTTGATTTACTGAAGAGAGTAAGAAATAAGAACCTTAGGTTGAAAACAACATCCAAATGGTCACTTTTAAGGAATTGCTTTAAGGAACTACTTTCAATGTGTTAGTTTTCAGAACAGTGAGACCTCCTCTAAGAGCGTTTTCCCATCATCAAACATGTGTCCAGACTGGAAGATGGCTCTATGATCTAAAAATACCATCTGCAGAAAGCTTAAGCACTTGGCAGAAAAAAAGTGGTTGTTCTCTGTGTGTGTGTGTGTGTACACTTGTAAATTCTTTCCCCTGATTAGAAAATAAAAACAAAAAACAATGACTACTTCATCTACATCCCTACAACCTAAAAAAGAGAGAGAGAAAGAGAGAGAGAGAGAGAGAGAGAGAGAAAATGATCAGTGTTGCAGTCTTTTCTTTCTTCCTCTACGGTCCTAGTCATTATTTCTGAGCCCTAGAAAATAGAACTCCCGATGTTTATGACCGCACAGTGCTTTGAAGGACACTACCGAGAATGCTGACATTTTGGAACTGGGACCTTGTTATGCTTGAAGCTTAACTGATGGAACATCAACATTCTTTGCTTTCTCATTGCAAAATATTTGCTGTAAAGTGTAAATAAAGAAAGGGGAGTATTTCTTCACATTGCTGGGCTAAAACATCTGGCATCTGGGGTTGTGTTTATACCCTTCTGCACTGCAGGCTTGTCCTTCAAAGCAGTCTGGATTTTTCTTTCACCTCCTTGAATGTCCAAAAAGTAACTTTTATGTTTTTCTTAGGAAGACAATTTTTGTCCAAGCATATGGTGCATCTTAAATACTTGCGCCAAAAAACAAGTCACTGAAAAGGGAAGTTCTCCAATTTATCTTTTACAGCCCACCTGCTTGTATCCCAAGGGCCCTGGGTCACTCAGAGCTCCACCTACATTCTCAAAGTATAAGATCCAAAAATAACATAGTGCTTTTTGGAACATGATCTCACTTTAAAATGTATTTCTACCTTGCCTGTTACTAACGGTATGATTGCAAAGAGTCATACAATGTGATAAAGGAAACAAATGAGAACTGAGGGAGGAAACTAAGTAGGAAATTGAATGGAAATTAAACAGAAAAGAGTAGGGAAACAAAAAATCAGCTTAATAACATATAAGCTGCATGCTGTATACTCACTACAGGTGAACCACAGATTGGGCTCCAAATTTCTTAGCAAACTAGTCAAAAAGAGAAACAGGATTAATCATGAGGCCCAGCAAGGAGAAAGGAAAACAAATCACCTGTTCAGGAGCCGATACCTGCCTTCCTGGTAAGAAACAATCAGAGTATTTTTCTGTGTGTCTTCATAAAGAGAACATGTTAATTTTGAGAAAATATTTTCAGTGTCATTCTTGCTATGAGTAGAGTAAAAGCCTTCAAAGGGCTTTTGCAATAATATTTATCAAAGTGGACCCCAAATTCCTCCAAAGCAAAGTTTCATAAAAGGAATTCTAAGATGTCAGCTGAGAACACAGGTCACTGGCTACCTACCACCGAATCCAAGGCTGTGTTTTAGTTATCATTGACAGCATAGCCTTAAGAGAAATTCTCCATAAATATCCATTCATGCATTTGTTCAACAAAAAATATTTGTTAAGCACTGGCTTTGTGCCCAGCATTGTTCTTGGTGCTGGTTATATAGCAAAAATAGACAAATTCTCTCATTCCATGGAGCTCAAATACTAGCGAGGGTGACAGAAACAAATGGTTAAAAAGTAAACACATAAAGGAAATCATTTTATAACATTATAGTGATAACACTGAGGAAAAAAATTAAACAGTGTCGTTGGTACAAACAGGAGCTACTTTTGATAGGGTGGTTAGAAAATGCTTCTCTGAGGCAGTAACAATTGAGGCAAGTAAGGAGAAGGAGCTAGACAAAATCTGGGAAATCCTAGAAATTGCAGCAGAATGAACAGTAGATGCAAGCGTCCAGGAGTAGACTTGAGCTTGGTATGTTGATGGGGCTCATGGGACTGAACTATTCTGAACAAGGAGGAG